GGCGGCGGGAGCGGGACCCCCGTCGCCTTGCGGTCGGTGACGGTGGTTTCCCGTGGGAGCTGGGAAGGGCTGAAAAACGGGGATGTCGCTGGTGTTCCTAAGGGCAGCTGGGCTCCGTCCGAAGAGCCGCCAGGATGGCCAAATATACCTATTTTCCGAGTTAGAGGAGCTGTCAAGTGTCTATATCCAGGCTCGTAAGGACCACTGCGCTTGAGCGCCTTCGCGGGGGCATGGGAAACCCGAACTGTTTACTTTGAATTCTCAACCGTCGTAAAGGCACAGTTATTTGCAGTAGGGGTTTTTAAATTTAACGCCGGATCGGTGTCTGATGTCCTGGCGTAAATGCCTGGTGATTAAGCAGCCCAGGGTAGGGGTTCTCCAGCTGCGCTACTTCTGGGCAGCGCGCTGCGGAAACACTCCTTAACTGTCGCAAAAAAAAAAAAAAAGAAAAAGAAAAAAAAAGAAAGTGCTTTAAGTTAAATAAAGATGTGTATCGCTCTTACAAAGGTTGCCTGGGACTTCCTTGTCGCAGGCTGTCCTGATAAAAATCAGAAAACGTTTACAGAATTCCTGCTCCAAGGGCAGCTTTGTTCTCTTCAGCCTCACGGGCAGAGGCTTACCGGACTGCAGCGCAGGGCGCAGTGCTGCCCAGCGGGGTTTTGTTGGGCTGGCTTCCTTGGAGAGGAAAATAAAAATTAAAAAAAAAAAAAAAAAGGCCAGCCTCTAAGGAAACAGCACATCTCACTTCAAGTTAGCACGGTTGCTACCTGAAACTTTCAGATGTCGAAACACCCCGCGATTCCTCTTTTTCTTCAAATATTACACAGGTTACCGAACCTGACGAAAATCAAGTGGGGAGACTGCCTGCTGACTGAGAATGTTAAAAAGCGTATTCTCTTTTAGTAAAATCGGGTACTGAATTTCCCTTCTAACGCTTGAGAAGCTGTTTGATTAAGCAGTTAATTGCGGAAGTAATCACAGATGGGAAAAATAGCTCTCCTTTTGTTTATAGTTAAGAGCTACAATTTTTAAATTTCACAGATGCAAGGATGAAACTTAAAATTTCTGATTTACAGGGAACTCAAATGGAAAAAACTTCAATTTTCTTGGCTTCTTAGGCTTTTTGTTGTTGACACTGATTTTTTTTGTTCAGATAAAAATTACCCCAAAATTACAGTTTGCCAGCCATTCTTGCAGTAAAACTACTTAAAGACATAATCAGTAATCTTCAAATACACTTCAGTGGAAGGAAAAAAAGTCAAGTTTTGAATATCTTTTTCTTGCTAGTGGAACTTGGACACAAGAAAAGACTTCTGTGTATCTGTATTTTTCCATGCATCTTAACACTCCCAGTAGTACTGTTTTGTATGTTAGTACTTGTTGTTTTGCTTACTACTTCTGCTCAGATCTGTGCTCACTGCCCAGGGGGGAGAGGGGGGCTTGATCTCTGAAGCACTGGTCAACTAATTCTTTGTGTGTGTGCACAGAGAACTGAACATCGGGAGGGAAGACTGCACAAATTAGTGTTGAATAACTTTCTTTAGGGAATTTTAACATTGTAACATTTGCTTGTACTATTTTACTCCAGGTGCAGCTTTCTAACAGGCATAGGAACGAGTATCCAGTATCTTTTATGATTCTTGTGCTGTTAACTGTCACTTCACTTCATGTTAAGATTTTTTTCCTAGCAGTTCTACCTAGTATCGTGCCAATTCTTGGTTCTAAGGCAAATGCTTTAAATGTTGTGACTTGCTTTAGTCTCAGTACTTAAGTGCTCCACGTTTTGAAAGTTTGTGCTATCAGTGTGCTGCGTGACACTCACCTAAAGTTTTCTTCGTCTCTCTTTTCTCTTATTAGCTTTTTCATAGTTTTTTAGTTATGCATTTCTCTTTGATTAAAATGTACACATTGATTTCTTTACATTTTCTTCAAAGAAATTGACTTCTACCATGCCAATTTGTTTGCTTCTCCCTCACCCCCCCACCCCTTTCTCCATACTGCACAGATCAATGTAGGTGGGAAAATGTCATGCTGGCTTGGTTACTGGTGGGGGGGCTGGTTTTTCTTTTTCTTTTTCTTTCTTTTCTTTCTTTCTTTCTTTCTCTTTTTTTCCAAGGTGCTGATCCTGCACTTTCATAAAATCATGTTACTTCTGCATGAAAAGCTTGATCAAGCAACCCTGCTTTGCACAGTGGTCATCCTGAAATCAGTGAACTGCTTTTGTCCTCAGTGTATCTTAATGAGTAAGAGTGGTTAAGTGTAAGCCATAGCTCTTTAAAGAGAGCTCCGTTTCTGGTGAGCATCTTGCTGTTCAGTGGCCTGATAGTTGTGTCTAAAAGCTCTAGTAATATGAAGACTTCTTTGTTATTAATCCTTGATTGTTTGATAGCAAAGTTATTGATGCACTTCCAGGACATCTGCATAGCCAGATATATTGAGGAAGAGAATTGGAAGTTGAAATCTCTGGAGTTTAGTGGGTAAATCTTTGTCACATCTAGGATCTGAGCTTCCTGCTAGAATGGTCTGCCAAAAGCCTAAGGACACCTCAGAAGGCAAGGGGATATAGAAATAAACAGCCTTCTTTACAATTGAAAAATGAACTTTAATGTCTGCTTTCCTCAAAAGATGCAAAATGATCCGTACATTCCTATGAAATATCTCACTCCTGATAATATTTTTCAAATGGAGAAAAAATATAATATTAAGAAGGTAAAAAAAAGGCACAGTGTTTACACAGTGATTTTTAAAAGTAAAAGAAACATACAGAGTTGACCTGTCCAACTTCTCTGACTCACAGCACTGCTGTAGGTGGCAGCCCTGTAGGAAGTCAGAATTTGGTGTTCTTTTATGGCCTGCTGGAAATGATCACTATTAATGTCTTGTGCCTGGGAAGAGAGAGGCAGGAGAGTCTGTTTTGGTTAGCCCAAAAACACAAAGATGAGTCTTGTTTCTTAATGTCCTATCTGCAGTATTTAATTCTTACAAACTTCATATACATAATTTTTTCTAAAAGAATCTTGTTAGCAGACTATCGATATCCTGCCTTTTAGAAGGAAAAAATGTTATGGGTGCTAGCAAGCTGAAAAAGCTCAGCAAGACTTTATTTCTGTGATCTGGTAACCAGAGCACACAACTGATCTTGATGTCCCATAATACACTATGGCTGGACTATGGCTGGTATTTGATCCAGGTATTATTGAACAAGTTCCCAGAAGTCATGGTGCCTAAAATTCTTCACTGCAGTTAGTGTGGGCTGGAGATAGCTCTTAAACTGAGTAAGAATGATTAACATGGGCATATAGAACTTTATACACTTTATTCATTTCGCTACAGCTGGCTTAACCTTTTCTGTATTACAGAGTAAGAGCTACACAGCACAGACCTAGTGCTGGATGCTAGTTACCTGCTGCTGCACGCTTAGAGAATTGTTACAGTTCTTATGCTGGCAACTGTATTGTAACACTTTAAAAAGCATTAGCCACGTGACAATCAAACTCACTTTGTTAAATCCTTTAACCACGGTTTTTACTAAGTACCATACCAAGAGCCAACCTACTTTCCTAGCCAGCTGCAACTCCTTATCTGTTTTCCTTCCTTAGTGTTATAATCATCTGATGTCAGCGCTCCCTGAGTAAGAACTGGCACAGTGTCACAATCTAGTGCTTATTCCTACATAACCTCTTCTAACTTGATTAACCTATTCTTATCTTTTTTTTTTTTTTTTGTATTTCAGGACTGTAAAAATAGAGGAATAGTAGCATATTCAGTGATAACTGGAATATAGCCTTTTGGGTCCTATACAGAGCTGTCTAAATCACTTAAAACTTCCATAGTATGGTTTACTCATTTGTAAAATATATAATCCTGAACCTTGCATGGATGTTGTAAAGCCTAGGCCAGGTCCACAATATGTATTCATTTATAATGGCAAAACTTGTCCTGCTTGGCAACCTTTATATTTGACAAGCACTTGGCGCTTCTCAGGTGAGTAACTATTTCATCTGGCAGTAAATGTGCTGAGTAATATTGGTTGTGTGTGTTGTTTGGCCCTTCTAGTAAGTGACATCATGGGCACAAACACTTCACATCAAATATAATCACTTCTTGACACATCAATTGTTCCTAGATGGCATCTCTCAACTAGACTGGAAAGTCTAAAGATAGCAAAAATGTAGTGAAATAATGAATCATTGCCATCTTAGTTTCTGTCAGTCAGAGCCTACCTATTTGTTTTAGGTAAGTGCACTTTCTAGGAGAAAGCAAATATAGCAGCTTTGGGCAAATAAATCCTACCACGTAGACTTGTAAAAGGATATAAACAGTGTTAGCTAATTTATTGAATGGCCTTTTTTTAAAGCCATGAATTAGAAAAATCTTTTCAAAATAAAGCTTTTTTTGAAAGTTACAGCAACTTGGGAAGATCCCTAATGGTGTTTCTGTCTTATGAAGAACTTGAGTTCTGCTTTTCCAGGTCCCCTTTTCTTTTCAGAGGTGTTAGGCAAGTTAAAATGCACTTATGGAAGATAGGTTATTGTAGAAAGCTTTAGTATAAAGGGCTTGCCTCAATGCAAAGGCAAAGATTTTTTTTGAAGGTGTGGTTTAATTAAGGGTTTAAGTTGTGTAAAGCCTAATTTATCTAAACTGGTGGGAGTGTGTAAACAAATCTAAGTAAGTGAAACAGTTTTGTTTGTATCTCTGTGCTTAGGAGTAGAATTAATAGGAACCTTTTTAAATTGTGTTTCTACCCAGAGACTAGAACAATATATTTTAAGTAAATTATAAATTAGTGCTCCTTTGAAAAAACAGGTCTAGTCTAAAGACACCACTGTGCATCAGCCCTGAGCCAGAAGGTACTGGGAATATGAGCAGTTGTATTCAGTTCATTTTGTCCCAGAGTGTCCCAGTCAAACCACTGATAATAATGTTAATTGTGACTCCAGATAACTGAGTGCCTTTACATGTTTGGTGGGACTCAATTGGATGCAGATTGTGATCTTGACCTCAAGTGTGAGTTTCTTATACTCACACTTATAAAAGTGATACAGTTGGGTATTTATGAACTGTAGCTTAAAGCCTTTATTTATTTATTTATTTTTTAGTTGCAGATTGAAATATCATGGACAGAAAATAGTTTGAGTGATGTCTTTTCACTAGTGTTTCTCTGGCATTTCAATTCTAACATGGATAAGTGTAAGCACGTAGGGCGTCTGCGCCTGGCCCAAGATCATTCCATTCTGAATCCTCAGAAATGGCATTGCATGGACTGCAATACTACCGAATCTGTGTGGGCATGCCTCAGTTGCTCGCACGTGGCATGTGGAAGATATATTGAAGAGCACGCACTAAAGCACTTTCAGGAGACGGGTCACCCGGTGGCATTGGAAGTAAATGAACTGTATGTTTTCTGTTATCTCTGTGATGATTATGTTCTTAATGATAATGCAACTGGTGACTTAAAACTGTTGCGAAGCACATTAAGTGCAATCAAGAGTCAAAACTATGAGTGCACGACTCGTAGCGGGAGGACTTTGCGTTCTATGGGTGCAAGTGATGATTCTTACCTTTCACATGATGGTGCCCAAGCCTTGCTTCGGAAAGAGGACCGCATGTTCACAGCGCTCTGGCACAGAAGGCGTGCGTTCATGGGCAAAATATTCAGAGCATGGCTTGGGTTGACGCCTAGTGGAAAAAAGATTTTGGAAGAAGAAAAGCGTTGGGAAAAAGCAGAGAAAAAAAGGGACAAAGCTAGGAAGAGAAGGCAGGAGCGGAAGCGTCAGTTAAAAGCAGAGATGGAAAAGATGCCTCCAAGAAAGAGTCGTCGTTTACAAAATCAAAGGGGAATGTTCTCAAAAACAGCACCCTGCACACCAGAAGCATCCCAGAATGTGGAATCAGTGGCAGAGTTGAAAGAAATGTATACCTCAGATGATGTAAGATTGAAAAAAATAAGTGACTCTCCAATTAAACGGAGGCCCACAGTGACTCCTGGCGTAACAGGATTGAGAAACCTGGGAAATACATGCTATATGAATTCTATCCTGCAGGTATTAAGTCACTTACATGTTTTCCGTGAATGCTTTTTAAAGCTTGATCTCAGGCAAACTCAGGAACTGCTGGCAACAGCAGCCAGCGGTAAAACAAGATCTTCGTCTAAACACCCTTCAGTTACTACTGCCTCAGCATTACATGTGAATGACAACCAAGAGAATGTAAAGGGATCGTCATCTTCTGTGAGGCGACCTAGTTTATCTTCTGGATTAAGTGGAGGAGCATCAAAAAGTAGAAGTATGGAACTTATTCAGCCCAGGGAGCCAAGTTCAGAGCATGTTTCTCTTTGTCATGAGCTGCATACCCTGTTCCAAGTTATGTGGTCTGGCAAGTGGGCGCTGGTGTCTCCTTTTGCTATGCTCCATTCTGTGTGGAGACTAATTCCGGCCTTCAGAGGATATGCCCAACAGGATGCTCAGGAATTCCTCTGTGAACTTTTAGATAAAGTACAGCAGGAACTGGAGACCGCAGGGACCAGGTACCCAGCTCTCATCCCTGCTTCTCAAAGGAAACTTATAAAACAGGTTTTGAATGTGGTTAACACCATTTTTCATGGACAGCTCCTAAGTCAGGTATGTTTTATGTTTTTCTTTCTTTCTTTCTTTTTTTTAAACCCTGTTTAGTGATTTGTAGATACACATTTATGCTGATCAGTGATAGGCATACTTCAAAGATAAGATTAATAAGTGTGTAACTACTGAGGAGGGATGGAGAGGATAGGCTGTCGAAAGTTAATCACTTGGATACTCCTAAAACTTTCAGCAGAAGAGTCACCTGGTAAATATAAAAGTTATAAATCTGGTATTGCAAGCCACACTCTTGCAACATATTGTTGAGAGTAAAGAATTTGATAAAAGCTTACAAATATCTGAACTACTAACAGAATGTAGCTTTGCCTAACACATCAGCTTAAACAAGATACATAAGCTCTCAAGGAGTACAGGACTGCTGAGAACCATATGACCTTACTGTTAAGCATCAACTGAAATGCAGTAATAATGAATTTACAGTTTAAGCACCTAGTCCACTGTCATGATGTTAGATAAAAGAAGATGTTAATCTGCTCTAAATGGAAATTTTGTGTAATAAGTGCTAAGCAGGAAAACATTTGCATTATTTCAGTAAATAGTTTGAACGAGAGCTTGACATTCCTTCCTACAGATGCTATATACAGGGATATTTGTCCTTCTTTCCCACTACACAAAGATATGGAGGGCTCTGTCAACACAGAAACCAAATTTGTGGGGTGGAGGCAATGGTTGTTTTCCTCTTCTCTGCCTACTACCTTTTTTTCTTGACTTCCTGTTAAGTACTTCAAAGTGTCCACTTACTGTTATGCATATCCCAACTGTGTACGTGTACAAAGATTTGAGAACTGACTGAACCAATAGAACAGCTGGTTTCTGCTAAATTCATCCAAAAGAACTAAATTGCAACAACAGGAACAGAGGTTGACAAAGTCTCAGAAGTGGTCTTTAGTGTGCCTATGTTACTGAGATAGTGCAGAAACATTAAAAGATATTCTTTGTAAATGAGTAGAGATTTTAGACAAAACAACAAAAATGTAGATGTTGCCATTCTGTCTACTTTGTTGATGGTTTAATATTTGATTATGTGAAGCTAGAAATCAAAGTGCCTTGTGACTGAGATAGGTTTGCTATCTGCTACTGTATCCGTAAATTTTATAATAAGGTAACAGAACTAAAATTATGGTTGCGTTCAGGCATATGTTAAATTCTAGGTCTTATTTAACTACTGGAAACTGCTATAATCCACTAATAAAAATGGATCATCCTCCACCTTCCATTTGGCACAGTGTAAGAGCACTTTTGTTGGCATGCCTCATACCCCTTTCTCAGGGTAGCCAACGTAACTTGTGTCAGAGTAGCACTAATATAAGTGTCTAGTATAGTTATTATGTCAGTAAAGCTTTCTATCAGAAAATCGCATTTCTTTACAAAATAGCGACATTGACAGTAAAACCAGGTAGTTGCTTAAGTATTCTGAACGACAAGGCTTTATCTGAATGACAAGGCTTTAGCTGCATTGCCTTCTTACAGGAGTCATTTGTTTGAATTTGAATTGTCAGCTGGCTATGAAGACAGTAATGAAAATTTAAATAATACCACTTCTTTCACACCTTCCTCCTTGTTATGTGAAGGGTCTTGTGATTAGAAGCCCTCCCACCTTCCTGAAACTGGGGAGGAGGATAGTGAGAATTCACTCAAGTGTCACTGAGTGAGCCTGAAAGGAAATGAAATAGGTTTGAGCTGTCCAGTGACTTCTGCAACTACAACATGTAGCTATTTTACTGCAGCTGATCAATACTCTCATGCAAGATAAAGCCTTGGTGAACTTCAGAATGCCTAGAGAGAGAGGAACAAAAAAAAGTGTACTGAGGCTGTTGATCTGAAGTAATTTGTCACCTGCTCATATAGGCAGTTTCCACAGGCAATGTCCAATACTTCACCTCCCAGTGTTCCTTCTGGGTTCCTTCACTCCATGTTCCAGTTTTGTCTTCGCTAGCACTTTTGAACATGACACGCAGCGTGAGGTAACCCCCAAAGATTTATGTTTTCCCCCTTGATAAAACTTGTTCAGGTAGCTTAATGATTCAGACCCTGGTGTTTGTACATGGAAGGATGAGCTTTAAAAACTCTGTTAGGCAATTATTTTTCCTCTCATCAGTAAGATTAATCCATCTTTGTTTAAGTGTCTGTCATAACTGTCGTAAACAACAGCTTTTTTTTTTTTTGACTAACTTAAAATCAGGGACTGTATGTTTTGTGTTCATATGCTTAACTTTTATCTATTTAGAAGCTATTACAGTGCTACAGTTTCTGTCTTTAAGATAGCTGAAGCCATAGCCCGCTATGTTTATTGAAAGTGGGATGGAATTTTGATCCAGAATATTTTCGAAATACACCTTAATTCAGTGAATGGGGGGAACTGAGAAGCTGGGTTCTCTGCAGAGTTGTTTTTCATCATAGAATTACTAAAAAGTTAATACACTTAATATACGTTTGTTTATACTGAAAGTTTATAGTTAAATATAATTGATGCTGTGAGATACTCAAGTATAGTAAAGGCAATCTACCTGACCTTTAAGCCTCAGGAATGCTACGAACTACTCTTAATACAGTGCATATAGGATCAGTTACAGTGCAGATAAGCTGTATGGTTACTTAGGTTTCACATTACTTGCACATGTGCAATAAAACATTCTCCCTCTTCTTCTAGCTGTTTTATTTTAACCTGAAGGGAAGTCATAACTCTGAGTTTGCCGTCAGTCTGTTGCAATAGAAATGGCTGCCTGATTCAACACCATACCTGGCTGAAGGATTAAGAAAGAGGAGAAAACAGGATGTGTGAGAATCTTGTTCAGACTGTTTTTTTGATAACTAGGAAAAGTTTTGGTGATGTCTAAACAGTGGCATCTTTTAGGTGAATTGGTTGTTTTTGATTTTTTTTTTTTCCTTTTCATTATGTTCTCTGTCAGCTCATTTGAAGTATGATGTACTTCCTGATGTTTCTTCACTTGAAATACCTTCCCCCTCTCTCTGCTGTTTTATTGAATGCTAAGCTAGGTAATGAGTAACTCTGAGCATAGCATGGGCATAGACAATTGGATTGCCTCTTGAAATTTTATTTTAATCCCAATATCCTTTTTAGGATTAGAGGGATTTCTTTTTTCTCTCCAGTACAGATTGTGAAACTTAAATACCCGATGCCTTTAAAGAGAGTAAAGCTAAGGTAGGATACATAGCTAAAAAATCTTCCTCCTCTGTTCTTTCCTTTTCAACATACTAGTCTTCCTCCAGTGATTACCTGGAGCAAGATGTGGTATAGTACTTCTTGGGCAAAAGAGTCTTTATATAGAAGACCTATGCTCTCAGATGTGGATCCACTGGAGAAGCTGGATCTTCCCTCACAACCCCATTGGGACTGCAAGAAGATGCCAATATGTCTATTAAAATGCCAGTTGTTTTCGATCCTTCACTGCTCGTACTCTAGTGGAAGAAAGGATACCTGCTCTCTTCTGTCCTTGGGCCCTTCAGTGGGAAAGGAGAAGAGTATTACGCTATGAAGTTTTGTGCCAGTTGTAAACTGGCCTATACTGATGATCTTTGGAGTAAACTTCAAGAACTGAAGCAGGTTAGCCATCATCTTTTTTAATGAAGTGTTTTGGCTTGTGATTTTAAAACGGACCTAGCTAAATAGCGCCCTGTGCAACAGTTTTTAAAATTAAAGGTTAAAATAATAGTAACTAAAGTATCTTTTCAGTTTTGTCCATATTAAACAAGGAAGTAGGCAGGTGTATTTTAGAGATCCCCAAAACAGAAATAACAGAATTTAGCTTTCAAAGTTAATGTGCATTTTCAGCACTGCATTAGGAAACTTATGCCCCACATGTCCACAGAATTCACACTAGCAGAAACTCAGGTGTGTGTACTTATACCAGTTTTTAAATTTTTGCCAGGATAACTTATACTGGGGGCAAGGGGAGGGGGAACTAGAATGCTATACTTGTGAAAGGTGGTCTAGACAAGGAAGCTTGTAGATACTCATGCTGGCAAAACCTTCTATTGTGTAGACATGGTCTTTGCTTCTCAATTTCAACTTTTTAAATATATTGCTTTACCATTACCAAAGCACATTAAGTACATGATTTTTGATTATTTGAAAGTTAGAGGACCGTTTTAGACTGCATTTTGGAGATTTTAACCTTCATGAAAAGTCTGTGAATCAAGACATCAGAAAAATTGGAATAGGAATGTAGTTTTGCTACAGCTGATTTGGAGTTGCTCTTGAAAAGGAAATCTAGTACATATACTTCCCAAATGGCTTGCATAATATAACTGTCCTCCAGTTCATCCCATATAACATGAAGCTTCTGGAACTTAATGGTAGTTTCTAAGGAAAATGGGTACTATATTTAGCTTTTCTCTTGTGCTTTTTGCCCACCAAATATTGGTTTGGTAAAACCTTAAAAACCTCAAAGTTCAAAACTAACCTCATTGTCATAAGAATTTAGCAGGAAAAAAGACTCTACTGTAAGCCAGTCTTATAGGGAGAATCTAAATATTGATACCTGCTCTTATGTAGTGCCAAAATAGTCTGTCAGATTTTTGAGTCTCTTAGTATTATTAATTTTGCATTAGGTGTGAAGAGATGTGAACATATATTTGAATCTAATAACAACAGAAGAATTAGTCCAAATAATTACTGATGATCCTGTGGTTATTTTAGAGAGCTTTTTTAATACTAAAAACTCTCAGTTGCTCATCTTTCATTCTTGATTTTTGTGATATCTTTCTGACGTTCATGCACACTCAGAGAAAGGTTGATGTTGGAAGGGACCGCTAGAGATCAGCTAGTCTAGCCCCCCTGCTCAACCTGAGCAGGTTGCTCATGACTGTGTCCAGCTGGGTTTTGAATATCTCCAAGGGTGGAGAATCCACAGCTCCTCTGGACAACCTGGTCCAGTCCTCAACCACCCTGAACAGTGTGTTTAAAAAATGTCCTTAATAAGTTTGGAAATGGTTTTTAGGATTAGTTGCTCCATCACCTT